GCGACGAATTCAGGTTCAGGATTGTACGCTCGATAAATTGCATGAACACATTCAGACCGCAATGGGCTGGACCAACAGCCATCTCCACCAGTTTGAGGTCAAGGGGGAACGCTACGGCGATCCAGACCTGATGGATGATCTAGATTGCATCGACTCCACAGCTACGATGGTGAGCGAGATCCTTCCCACGACCGGCAAACGCTTCGCATTCAAATACGATTATGACTTCGGCGATGGTTGGGAACACGAAGTTCTTTACGAGGGGAGCCCTCCGTTGGAAAAAGGAAAGAAATACCCTCTCTGCTTGGAGGGCGAACGAGCTTGTCCCCCTGAGGATATCGGCGGAGTGTGGGGCTATGTGGACTATCTGGAAGCTTTGGAAGACCCGAAGCATGAACTTCACGAGGACTACATGGAGTGGAACGGACCGTTCGATCCTGACAAATTTGATACCAAGAAGGCGACTAGGGAGATGAAGAAGGGACTTCCGAATTGGCGGGATATGTAAGCGAGCCTCCCCGGCTAACGCCGGGGAGGCATGCCCAACTATTTTCTCCAATTCTACGGCACTCATTTCTCGAATCAGTTTCAGTGACTTTTCTGTTCCGGTGAAGTTGGTTAGAGGTTTAACAAAATGAGAGTCAAACTACCGTTTTCTGACAGAGTCAAGAAATATGATCGAACCAGAGCTACAGCGCAGAGACCCAGAATTCAAGCGTAGACACGACGAACTGCTGCGTAGATTTGAGCGAGAGGCCAAAAGGCCAGAACGCAATTTTTGGATATTCCTTCTCGTCGTGTTTGGCGTAGTGCCGACTCTTTTGTCCATAATTCTCACTACTATTCTTTTCAGTCTCGCAGGCGATTGATATCACGACTAATGGCCAACCATAACACCGAATATTGAAGACAGCCCGAGTAAGAATTCCCTAAACTAGGAAATCCACTTTCTGCGGGGAGCCCCTAATCTCTCAATCACTTCAGATTGACTGATTTGAGAAATCATTATCTGTGCTTCTGCGATCTCAAATCTTGGCTATGCTGTGCATGAATTCAACTTCAAA